ATGAAAAGATTACTGAAATGGTGTTGAGAGTAATGCTCCTTAACGAAAGAATACCTAGATAAATGAGAAGACTCACCGGAAGACTTGCCCAAAAAAAACTTTGACAACAAGAAAGCTTGAAAGTTTTTGATAAGTGTTTCACGAAGATAAAGTATGGAAATGGTAAGATTCTAGCTTTTATACCAGTAAAGGACTTAATCCTAGCTATTGGATCAAACCCTAACTAATCTGAAGCGTCCAAAATCAAATAGATTTGAGCTACAGATTTCAAACGGTTCACATCTTCAACGCCCCAGATTAATGCGTGTATGTACCAGCATGACTTGGCGCGTGAAAGTTTTCCCCAACACCACGCATCCTAATAATTAGCCATCATGATGCATTGAATATAAACAGCTGTACGGTTATTGAAAATCGTTTCGAGACAGCCAACTTACCTTGGAAACATGCGAAACCGTCATGTCACAGACACTAATGAATATGGACTCGCCTTAGCTTCAAAAAGAAATCAGCCTCGGCCAGTTTGAATATGGACTCGCCTCAGCTTCAAAAAGAAAACAGCATCGGCATGTTCGAATATGAACTCGCCTTTGCTTCAAAAGGATTTCGGCTTTAAAGGCAACTTCATTAACCTTATGCATTAAATAACTAAAAAGTCCACGCATGGCATAAATAACCACACATGAACTTGGGGGACTATTGTTATGACTTATATACATAATCACCACGTGGTATCTTATTTATATGGTGGGACCAGCCCAATTGAATCAGGGTATATTTTCCTGGCATCTGACGTGTCAACCGAGGCCCCAGGTTATTCCAAAGCCCATTACCTGAGGCTATCATTGTTAACCTTTTCTCTGAGGCTCATGACACCACCACAGACCTGAGGCTCTTTAACAGCTGTTGACCAAATGTGAAGAATCACTCATGATGAAGATCTCAATTTGAATGATTGACGTGACTTGTGTAAAAGTTTATTTGTATATTGTCTTGTCAATGTAAGAATATTTAATGTCTTCTAAGGTTAGAAGAGTCAACTTGATAGTTATGATTTGATGACTTGACCGAGGAGAAGGTGCCACGTGTAAATTGATCCAAATGTCTTTATTTCATTTGTAACACTATAAATACCCCCACCATGTAATACAAAAAGGTTAATGAAATTCTAAATACTTGGAGCAATATTATTCTCTCTTTTATCAGCATATTTCTACTACAAATCTTGCTCTTTATCGATTGGTTTCTTATACAATTGTATTACATTTATCTTGTCAGAAGCCCGAACGGAGACGTCTAGTGTCTTCAAGCTACTCTCACGTTCAGTTTCTAGAGTCATCTTGATCGTTGATCGACATTAACGTGTTGGATCAAGCTTACGTGTGCACGAGTGAACCCGACATCTATTAGCAACATTTTTTTGGGGTCAACAAGATACATACGTACTGTTATTCATTCACACAATATTGGTTCATTAGAGCAACATTCGTTAGAGCAAATATTTTCGAGGATGCAATGCCGAAATGTTAAATCCTTCCTCCTGGCGTAGAATTTCTAGTTGGCTAGTAATGCCTCAGATTATTTGAGCTGAAAATCTGTGTTTTTTGTTGCAGTATTGGGCAGCAAAAAATGCATGGGCTGACAAAAAGCAAGCCCAAGGACCCCGCTAAGAGACACCAACTGTTCAAGAATCGTTTTGTTTAACTGTCAAAAAGTTGTCATACATATTATTGTTTTTGTGGTATATATGAGAGGCTTAACTGATGAAGCGAAAGAAATGCAACTTTGACAAAAAAAGGGTTTAAAATCATGTTGAATACCGTGAATTTAAGAATCACTTATTTGCGTTGTCTTTCTCACGGCAAATAGGTTTAGCAATTTTTTCAATATTCTTGTTTTCTCCATCAATTCCTGTTCAGGGTGCTCCGAACTACGAATCATTAACACATGAATCTCTTCATCAGGTTCCTCATAAAAAAATCAGAGGGTCAAATCCCAATATCCTTCTAGTCACTCTATTGCTAAGGATTCTTGTATAATTTCTGAGTATCCCCATCCCTCATCCCACCCACACCCATTTTGGTTGGTGATGGAGCCAAAATGGTTTTAGCTGTATCAGTTTGCACAAGGCCATTCAACTTGGATTTGATCAGTCTTAGCATCGTACGATGAAAATGCATACATATTTTATGTTATGGCTTGTAAAGTGACGACAGAAGTTTAGTTAGTCACGGGAGGCGGTCTCCTAATCAACATGTGAGTAGCAATAGGAATGCAAAGTACTAAGCTCGATCAATCTGCTCAGCCATTGTATAATGGGGAATGTTAGGTTCCTCGCGAATCTAGTTTTTGGTATACGAGTTCCACTAATATCAAATTCTCTTGAACCAAATTAGCGCTTGTCCCATCAGTCAAAAAGACAGGTTCATAAGTAGTTTTTCTGAATCTTGGCGTAAACGTAGACAAAATGCTCACAATATGTCCCTAACTGCCTTTTGTTAATAGCAAGTTCATTAGGTCGGTAATTGTCTAGTTTGACAGTGACTAGAGTGAAATATTTTAGGACTATCTTTCCACAAGCATGGAGTGGTTGCAAAGCAATAATTCCGTGTCTCAAAACTATAGTAACAAGGTCTTTTCATAGTTCGTTATTGATTAATAGGTCGGTTGTCAAGTCCACTAATTTACGATTTTCATGGTTGATGACAATTTATCTTTTCGAGAAAGCTATGAAAATCAAGCTGAGATCGGTATCATCAATTAAGACACATAAGAATTAGGGCGCGATGGACAAGACAACTATTTGTGCCCTTTTTTGTTTAACAATAATCATAGCTTTTCTTGGTGTTATTGAATATTATTGGAATATGAATATTTTGTATAATTATATTTGAAGATAGTAAAAAAAGCGATTATTGAAGTTCCATTAAATGGTTACTTCATTTTTAGGAACTCATATTTGAGGCTTCCGCTTCATACGTTCTTGAATACATTTAGTGAAATATCAATATATTTGTTACCCATAAAACCATTGAAATAATACAAATGTAAAATTTAACATGATTCATTAACACAAAAAAATATATTGATTTTAAATGTTATTTTTTGCATTTCTTGGAAGTATTGAAAGCAAGACCATATCATAAGGGTTGGCATTGAGCCCTAAAGTTGGAGGGTGGGGCTTAAGGTTGCATGTGAGCATACCCATAAATATGAGTTGTGTAGCATGTTATGGCCATTACTAGTCACCTAGACAATGATTTGGGAATTTTGGTCCACAAATTTTAATTTAACCATGAAATGCGTATTGATTAAGAATATATTGATATTTCACTAAATGTATTCAAGAAAGGATGTCCCGCTCATGCTTGATAGTGTTAAATTAAGAATAAATTAGACAACAGACATTATTCTTTTTAATATTATTTTTATTTATGATCATTAAAATTGGGCCCCACTCGATGTCAAGAGATATGGCTGAGTTTGAAATCGGCAAGAAAGGTTCTCTACTTATATTTTTGATATTTACGTTCGTGACCTTTTAAGTTTCGATTGTATAGAATTTTTGCAGCACCTTATTCTCATTGAGTAGATCGTGTTTTTAAAATTGTCAAAGTCTGATTGGATGATTATATTTTAATTTTTAGTTAAAGAGACTTTATTCTTACAACACTTGTAGCAAAGTGAAATGATTTGTGCACTAAATACTGTAATATTTGCTGCTTCATCAACAAAAATCTTGAACCCTCCTATCCCGATGTATACATAGCAAAACCCTATTCTTTTTGGCTTTTCTGAGCCATCATCAGATCAACTTCATAAAATATAAATTATTTGTTTTAATTTGTGCAGTCATTTTCCCTTTGGAAAGATGAACTTCACCTTGGAGCCCTTCTTTCTTTCTTTTCCAGCAAAGAATTGAGGGAAAGTGATGAAACAGTAAACCCTTCATTACCTAACACCAAAACAATGACTTTTTACCTTATTTTAAATAATGATGAATATAATTTTTTTTAACAACTAAAGGAAAAATCAGCTAAGTAGATGCTTCGTCATGCTAAAAAATGGTTGTTAAATGCTTTATTTGACACCCGATAGCACTAACAAATGTTTAGTAATAATTAAAAGTTAATAACTTTGTTGCAGATAGTAATAATACAATATATTATCATTGTTCAGTTCATTTGCATTTTGGAGAAAAGAGGAAATAAGTACTTTTAAGGCATTAAATACAATCTTTTTAAATTATGGAATGATGAGATCGTTATATTTAAAAATCGACAAAGTGCTTATTGAATAGATACTGATACATAATCGATGCATAATTCACATCCAATATGCAATTGTTAGGATTTGAGGCACAAATGTAAAGATGGCAATTGTTCTTGATTGATCGAAAATTGCACACATCAAATACGTCAAAGAGAAAAACGATATAAATAGACGTTTATAATATTGTTACTGTATTGTACACACTTAAAAATTTCACAACCGATTTGAGTGTCGAAGTTTTTTGTTAGGTACTTCTACCACCGCATTAAATATGTGTTAAAAACATTTGGTGATGGCAAGAGTCACTCTACTAAGATTTGGCTCAACCTTTTTGATATTTGCTTAGCTGCTCACGTTCTTATTTTGTGTGTTTGGTTGATTAAAAAGGTCTAAACCAGCTAATGCACATGGAATAATCAATGGTGGACGACACTCTGTACAAGATAAGAACGAGACAAAAAAAAAANCACACTCTCTCTCACTCTCATAAGTTGAAAATTAATTCAGAAATTAATGAATAAGACTTGATTAATTTAACAAATTAATTAAATGAAGCCAATAATTACAGTGACAGATGTTTCAAAAAGTTTAATAAACAAGAATTCTTTAGTTTTAACTTAAAAGGAAAAAAAGTCCATCAAGAATCTCAACTATAAAACAATCTCTCATCCCGCACCCAACAAATCATTCTTGAGCTTTAAAGAAAGAGCAAAGAAAATAAAGAATTAATGGCAGAGAATAGGGAAGAGGATGTTAGGCTTGGAGCCAATAAGTTCGCTGAGAAGCAGCCTTTGGGTACTGCTGCTCAAACAGACAAGGACTACAAGGAGCCACCTCCAGCCCCATTGTTTGAGCCTGGGGAGCTTAAATCATGGTCTTTTTACAGGGCTGGTATTGCAGAGTTTGTGGCTACCTTCTTGTTCTTATACATAACTATCTTGACTGTCATGGGGGTTGGTAGATCAAAAAATAAGTGTGCCTCTGTTGGCATCCAGGGGATTGCTTGGTCCTTTGGTGGCATGATTTTTGCACTTGTATACTGCACTGCTGGGATTTCAGGTTTATTTTATTTATTTATTTATTTATCCCACTTAATTGTGTTTTCTCTTTGCATGCCTTCTGTTTGTTTCTTTTACTGTGAGTTTTTGGCAAAATTATGAATTTCCTTTTGTTTTATGGTTTCTGGGGTTTTGTTTGGCCAGAGAGGAAAATTTTGTGGTTAGTTATGAATTATTGTTACTGGATCTTGTTGTATAGGTTCTTGATAGATCCATTTATGTATTATTTGGGAGAAAAGCTAGGATCTTGGTGATTTTTTCAAGAAACTCTAGTTTTAGATTATATTCTATGGCTTAGGGTACCCCCACCCTAACCCTTTTAGACCATTGTCACTATTCTATGGAAGCTTTCACATTTGAAGCTTCAAAACTGAATTTTTGTATTGGCTGTTGAACAGGAGGGCACATCAACCCTGCTGTGACCTTTGGTTTGTTCTTGGCAAGGAAGCTTTCCTTGACCAGAGCCATCTTCTACATAGTGATGCAGTGCCTTGGTGCAATCTGTGGTGCTGGTGTTGTCAAGGGATTCATGGAGGGTCCATACCAGAGGCTGCAAGGTGGGGCCAACTTTATGCAGCATGGCTACACCAAGGGTGATGGCCTTGGTGCTGAGATTGTTGGCACTTTTATTCTTGTTTACACTGTCTTCTCTGCCACTGATGCCAAGAGAAACGCCAGAGACTCGCATGTTCCGGTAGGCTTTGTCGTTTATACACCGATATTAACTTTTCATTGCTTAAACTTGTTTGTAAGACTGGATTTGGTGCTTTGATATGTTATTTGTTACTTATAATTAAGCTTTGACATCCAAGAAGCAGAAGAATTGATAATTTTATTATGTTTTGTGTAGCTGCAATGCTACATTTCTCTGATTTCATTTAGCCTATATTTGGCTCATGGTTATAAACTGCCCATTTCGAAGGACCCACTACCACAAGTATTATCCACTTCAACACCACTTATTTCTATCTATTTATAATTTAAACCATTTTATAAATACTTTCCAAACATGCTCTTAGATGTTGAGCAATTTTGTTGATTTAGCTCCAGTTCATTCAATGCAATCTTGACATGATATGGGCTGATATCTTTAGTTACTGAAATTCCGTTTAGACCTATTCTGAACTATACTGAATGTCACAAAATATGGAAGTATCATATCACAGGTTTTGTCTTTCCAGAGTATCGCCCCACACAAAATTTTCTGGTTTGCTTTGATGATGTTCAGCTTATTTGTTGGTTTACTAATCTATTGCCTTGTCATCAAGCAAGGGGGGAAGGTGGGGTTAGGATGATGTGCTTTTAGGTAATGTGGCTTTTTAGACATTTCTTCTCATTTTGTCTTTTAAAAAGAAAGAGTTCTGAAGCAGTTTCATTTAATTATTTTATTCTCATCAAAAATTCTTCGGGGGAATGTTCGCAGCTACAATTGGTCTTTTAGCACCATAGGCACATAACACCATCAATAAATTGAGCTATTGATTTGGTTGAAGTTTCAAATTTTAATTGTTATCGCATGGACATCATGTAAATTATGATTCTTGGTAATATAGTTGTGTGATTGTCCATGATGATTCGGAGAACCAACAAAAGCTCATGAAATTTAACTTCTTGATATGTGATAAAAGGATTTATGTGGTAAGAGTCCTAAAATTCTTTTATGTTGCAGCTTTTGGCTCCTCTCCCCATTGGGTTTGCAGTATTTTTGGTTCATTTGGCCACCATCCCCATCACTGGAACTGGCATCAACCCTGCCAGGAGTCTTGGAGCTGCCATCATTTACAATAGAGATCACGCATGGGACGATCATGTAAGAATCTCTCTAAGCGTATATCCTTTATAACTTCTCGTAATTATTAATCAGTTGTACATTTTCAACTAAAACTATAATTTCTGTACGTCGTCCAGTGGATCTTCTGGGTCGGACCCTTCATTGGAGCTGCTCTTGCTGCAATTTACCACCAGATTGTGATCAGAGCCATTCCTTTCAAGAGCAGCCAGGCCTGTTAAATTGCTATCTTATCCTAGCACTGTTGGACGTTGTTTCTCTTTGTTATGTCTAATTGTCTTCTCTGTTTGTGTTCAGTTGTGAATTGTGTGTAAATTATGAGGGCTACTATATATTTAAGCTTGTTGGATCTTATGAATGAACAACTATTTATCGTTTTCCTGTGTATGTTGTGTTGAATGAACCATTCCATTCTCGGAGCTGAGGCACATGAAAATGTTGGAATTAAATTCGAATGAGGTTATTAAACCAATTTATTGGCCAATTTGAGGGATTTTTTTAGGTGGGTTCCATGTCTATTGAAATGATCTCCAAACCCATGGTTGATAGGATCAAATATGCTCACCACAGTGGTAAGCAAGATAACTCGTACCCATCATGTATAAGAGATCATTTCTAGCCGTCTAATTAATGGCGTTAATTATGTCGTAATTATATTTTGGTGGGTTTCATACTATTTTTTAGTTTTTTATTTTTAGGTTGGTTTCATATTATTTTTAAGTTTTTTCCAACAGTCAAAAGTTTGAATTTGAGATTCAAGTAGTTCTTCTTGACGAGTATAATTATATTGTGGTTAGCTCGATAAAGTTAATAGTATGTTGTATTAATATATGAAAAGAAATATTGGATGTTGCAAAACAAATGTCTACCTATGCATGGTGGCATACTATCATTTAATCGTTGTTCTCTTCTCCTTCAAGTTTTTTAACTTTTTCTTTTAAGTGACTTGGTTGAATGGCTTTTTGATTTAAAAAAAAGAAAAAAAGAAAGAAAAAGAAAAAAAAAGAGAGAGAGATACCGGACTGCAACCAATCCTATCAATAATGAGAATATAGCAAGTGTTGTAGTCAAATTCCCACCATGTCTGAACTTTTTCCATAAGAAAGCATCTCCGTTATTCATTCATTGGTTTCTGTAAGATTAACGCTTCAATGACTAATGTCGATTGATTAAACGAGGTGCTTCTAGAATTCTATACAATTGATTTATGTGACAATAATAGAAGGAATTTTTGTGTGAATAACACGGGCTCACAGTATCTGCAAGACTGAATGCTAGCTTATTCAAAAATTACTCCACAGCAGAACAACAAAAATTTGATAAAAGACGTACTGTAATTGATAGAGAAAATTTGAACTTACCAAAATTTTCAGACAGCCTTTCAAACTATTAAGATTTTACAAAATTTGCCTGAATTTTCTCAATATATCTCCAAATCAAGTTTTTTGTATCCTGCTTGACCATATCATCTGTACAAAAGCTTCTGTCTAAAGTTCACCTAGAGGAATAATAGCTTAATAGCATGAACATAATCAGAAGAGTATAGCACTAGATTCTATTACGACAGAAAAGCTAAAATTTTGTACATTGTATTGTCTCCTTCTAGTGCATACGAAATAATGTATGCTAGATCCTCTCATATCTATAAAACCAAAATCACCTGGATTAGTACTTGTCTTTCAAGGTAGAATAGATGAATAGCGATCATAAATAAGCAAATTTTGCTCACTGATGGAATGATAGTACGAAATCATATAGTCTTCCTACTTTGTTTTCAGCTTTGAAAGAGACGCAAAAATATTGTTATCTACAGTTTTCTATATACAGCGCACTTCAAACTCCGTTGTTGTGACCAGGCACAGGGGAGTTTGGATTCAGGTCCTTAATCGGGTTCAATCTCAAAGGATTCATCAACAGTTGCCGTGACACTCTATCCGCCAACAAAAAATTTGCATCATATGATTGTTCTTTTTGGTCACCTATGCCACCTGACCTTTCAACTCCAAGAAAGCCATTTTCAGATGAAGCTCCTTCAGGTGACAGATGGGCTTGAACAAGTCCTTGAAATATGTTGGGTTTTTGGAGGCCTACTATCACCCTCATCGGTTCATGCAAATAATGTGTTGGCTGCTCTGAGTGAAGAAATGGAAAAGTGTCGTTGCCACCACTACGAGGAGTGGAAGAACTGGATGCAGCTTTAGGTCTTTGTATGGAAGAAGGGGACATTCTTTCGTGTGTATGCTGTTGTGACCGTGAATGCAAAAGATGACTCCTTATGGGAGAATTTGGGCAAGAAATGTTACTTGGAACATAGGCATCAGTTCTGAAAAAAAGAAAGGAGGAGTAGTCAAACAAAGCCAACAAGGTGTACATCAATAAAAGAAGCACATCATCTATATAAAGGAAGTAAAAAATGAGGAGACCCAATAATTCAGCACTATGCTAAGCCTCATGCTTTAGAACTAGTGACAATCCTTTGCATTTGACCAACCATATCATGAAAGATTCAGAAGTAGATTTTGAGTCCACGGACACAACAACGTTAGCATTGAAAGAATTAAAAAAATGACATTCGATTTGCATACCACAAATATAGAACTGATATCCACATCACAAATATTCTGAGCAATAGAAGTAAGGAGCATGTGAAGTTACAAGCAACATCTAACCGTCACACCTGTTGAATATATCCTCATGCATGCATCCTCACACAAATGCACGTCCCTATAAATGAGAATGTATTCAAATAAACGCGTTCACATGCAAGTGTGTGTGCACGTGTTTGATAGATAGATAGAGACCTAAATCCAGGAAAATGATCTGGACTTCTAGTCTGATAGACAGCCCCTTCTGATGAGCCCAAGCATGGTGGATTTCTGGGAGGTCCAAAGCCCTGAAAATAGCAAGTCCATAAACGAAATCAGTCCAAGGTATAACCCTGTGCCTCGTGTTCAATTAGATAAGCACTACTATTGCACATGCACCAGTATTACACATGCGCTACACAGAAAAATCTTAAAATACCAGAGATTTTATGGTATGTGGAACTGCAGGTATGGATTTCATAGATTCAGATCTCAAACTGGATCTTCCCCATGAAGGTGTATTTCTAATGAAAGGATGTTCCAAGAGCTGAGCAGCTGTAGGACGGTGTGTGGGATCGCGCTGCAAACATTGCCTCACGAAATGATTGCCCTCATTTGAGAGGTAATCTGGGATATGAGGCAGTTCCTTGCTGTTCCCGACCTTGAACATAGCAGCAACCTTCAGCGAAGAGCATAATACATTAAGAGTCCACGACAAACAAGAGACAAATAATTTTATAAAAATAATAATCATTTACAATTACAAGAGATTACACGATCTTCAAAGATCAGTAGATAATTAACTTACCCCTTCATACTGACTCCAAGGTGGTTTTGTGGTGGCCATCTCCAAAACCGTGCAACCTAGGCTCCATATATCTACTGCAAGGTTACAACCTTTTGAATTCTTTATGACCTGTACAAAGATACAATCATATCAAAAGAATTCCTTCAATCAATGGGAATGAAACCAGGAAATGAAATAGCATTTCGCCTAACCTCTGGTGCCATCCAGTGAGGGCTTCCCTTAAAAGACAATGGGCAAGATGGCCCAGTGATCTACAATATAGAAACTGGATTAGATGGAAACTTTAAGTGTCAAAAGAAGAACATGAACAATTCAGATAGATTTACACAGTGGACATGATCTCTGCTATTTATTTACTATTTTTTTTTCTAAATGTAACGCTTTTGCATTAGGCGGATGCTTAACAGTCAAATATTCACCCATCCAGTTTGCCACTTACATATTGTATCAATCAAATAATTAAAATAATATCTCTTATCAATTAGGTGTAATGTTGAGTGTATTAATATTTTTACAAACATGTTGGCGAGGAAGCAACAATTGAATATACTTGGCCATCTCAACAATTGATTAGAAAAAATTGCTTTACCAATTCCACATACCAAGTTCAAAGATAAAGGTCTACATACAAGATAATAGAAATGGAGTAGTCAAGGGAAATTCTCTTACATGTTTTGCCATCCCAAAATCTGCCAATTTAACCCGGCCATTGGGCTCAACCAGAATATTTGCTCCTTTGATGTCCCTGAAGATATACATTATTTATCAAATTTATAAAAGAGTAAGGTTTAAAAATTATGAGCGCTCATTACTTCAACTAGTCCCCATGTTTCTCGAATGGATCTCTTAGTTGTTAATAGGCCTCTAAGGCCAGATGAAATAAGAGTCGAGTGATAAACAAAAGGCCAATATCTATGAAACCAAGCAGAAAACTATTACTATAAAACCACACCTATGAACTGTGTTTTTGGCATGCAAATAAACCAGCCCAGATAATATTTGTTTAGCGTAACTTCGAATTGCTGCTTCACCTAAGTGGCCGTACTCTTGGAGGATTTTGTAAATGGAACCACCAGATACATACTCAAGGTATATATATAGCTTGTCATCTACCTGCAGATTAAATATGAAAAAAAAAATGACAATTAAGTACGCTGCAGTATTCAAACTTCTCACCAAACTAATAGAATCATATGTATGATAAATCACTATATGAACAAATTTATTTACTATAAAAATGAAGAACAAAATCACTCTAGAACCCAAAAGAAACTATAGGAATGGCATGGCATATGAACTAAGATAATCATATGTATTGCAATCCGGCTGGAGAAAGATAGAGCACTTTGATAGGATCCAATAGCATCTTCGTTTTACCATGATGGGGCTGTGTTTCTCCTATAGGATAGCCTATTAAGTTAAGGGAAGAAACCAAATGGAACTTCAGCGAAGAAATAAACTAAAACAACCTTTTGTTCATTTCACAAATCACAAATCACAAGTGTTCTTCAACAAATATAATTTTCAGTAGTATAAGAATAGGAGAAACCAGCAACTACAACAAAGAGTACAAAAAACTTACGATCTCTGATCCATAATACTGAACGATATTTGGATGACGCAAGCGACTTAGTAGTGCAATTTCCTGCAAGATATTACTCCAGGTGAGTTTCACAAAGATAAGTTCCCTATTCATAATTCGAAATGATAAATTTTCTTCCTTAGGTTTTCACTTCTAAAAATTAGTATCGTACAACATTTATATTTCTCTGAAAAATTTGAATTTTGCGACCAAAACACATGATCTCGGTGACTAAAAGGTTTAAGATAGCAAAAGCTCACTTGTCCAAGCTGCTTTGCACTTTCCCTTGACTTCGCATCATCCGAAAGTAATATTACCTCCTTCATTGCACACATCTCACCGCTTTCACTGCATCCCATAAAAGTAGGTAAATATTCTAATATTGATCGAAAGGGAGAAAAGGGACTTTGTTTAAATAATTAAACAAGTCCAACATTAACACCATGTGACAGCAGAAGGAACAACAAAACGATTAGATTCTTAACAAATATAAGAAGTACCAATACCAAATCAAATAATAGGAATATCAAGTGGCTTATATTTATATATGAAGAAACACATATTACTAAATACCCCTGACTGAGGAAAATAATGTAAGTCTATGTTGGGAAGTAAACTTGATTTTGAAGTAAGTAATATGGGCTTAGAAATTTTGCTCATAGGCCCAATTCATGATGTGGTCATAAATGTGATAACGTATCAAGTAGATTATGTGATTTTTGAAATTCTATCTAGAATATTTTAGAAAAATATCTAGTCCAAATATGTAGTCTAGAAACCTCATGAAAATAAGAAGTCTAGAAAGTTCTAGGAAATGTGTGGTCTAGAAGTTTCATGTAAACACTATATAAAAGGGTAGAGTCCCTCCATTTTTGAACAAATCAAGTCAAGTGTATAAATTTTAAAGTTGAGAAATATAAGTTATCTTTTTATTTACTTATTTCTTCCTATTAGTGTTGTCTTTCCAAGCCTTAGTCAAACCAAATTAGTAAAGCTCTCCTTCCTCCAACAATCTACAGTGCATATTGATAGAGAGAGAAGGAATTAGAACGAATGAGAATTAAATCTCTTTGATCACTTACCAATCAAAACCCAAATAAACCTGTCCATATGTGCCTCTACCAAGGAGACGTCCTTTCTTCCAGCGGGAAACAAGGTTTGGAGTAATTTCTGTCCTGCTTGGACTACGAGGTATTCTCGGGGATATTCCTGGTGAATGCGATAGCAGAGAAGGAGAAAGGTTAGAGATTGTTTCTGGAGGAAGAGGCAATCGGTGAAACTGTTGCTTTCCATCATCAAGGACCATAGGCAATTCTGTAAATGGCTCTCCAGTACGAGGATACGGAGGGGTGATTGCATCATTGTGTATTTTGGAGCTAGGACCAGGAAGTGTCATTCTTGGGCTAGGTAAAGGTGAACACCCAGGATGCAAACCATTTGTCATAACAGGCTCGTTCCTATATACCTTATTTGGACTTCTGGAAGGAATTGTCACTGAGCTGTCTACATCTCTAGCAAAAGCACTATGTGAAGGAGTTTGCAAGTGTTGAACACGAGAGGTATTGATGGGGTATTGATCCTTCTGCTTCAACCTATATCAATTTCAATGCACTTTTGTCTGGAAAAAAATTCAAACTGAATATTCACAAAATAAATTGTTGTTATGAAATGCAAACTTACTTGGAAGGACTAGCTGTATCAGATTTAAACCTATTCCCACAATCAGATGCTTGAGGGCTCAGGAGATGTATGTTGGATGAATCCTCACTATCACTGGAACCATCTGAAGCAGGTGAGTCATTTGATGAAAGTGCAGGTTCAAGGGGTGGCAGTCGACCCACTGGAAGAGGAAGTGTTTGGGCCTGGGGTTTCTCGGCAAAACTTTGGCAGCACGACTCTCGTGTTGAGGATGATAGTGATTGTGAATGTTCCCTTGATTGCGATGCCTTATCAGAAATAGTATCACTCTTACATCTTCGAGTAGCTCCTGGTCTAATACATTTCCTGTGTAGCGTATTAAGGAAACTTTCCCCCTTTTTTTTGTTCTTCACTTCTTTCGAAGACTTCTGCGACCATAGCCGCATGGTTAAACAATGAGCTATAGCAATATTATAGCTCCGTTGTAGTTCTGAAAGGTAAGATATGCAAATTTTGGAGTTAAACACAATTTGTACAAATGTCTCCTCCTACGAAATCTTTCCCCTAAGAAGCATGCATCTGAACTACACTGTGATTAAAGCACCTTAAGATTGAAAACAATGCCGTAGAAAACAATCCGCGAGAGCTAAGAAGCCTGCAATTTGAAAAATTGCGGTTAGAAACTCATTACCCTAAAGCAAGGGCAAATGAAAACAAACATCCCACAGCAAAGAAAATTGGAAAAATTACAAACAAAATAGTTATTTCCAAAATGCTCATAACAAAGGGATCAAAGGACTACAACGTGTAAAAACCGATAAGCACATCAACGATTCAGGAAAACGTGTATATAAAAACGAACAAGATAAACGATGTCATTCTAGTTTTTTTCAATTCACAAAGATTTCATTTTTGAGACATGAATTTGGATGACTATATAAAAGGTAAGTTTTAAGGATAACTGGAAAAAATAAATTTATAATGAACAACGAAACATAAACATCAAAGACGTTCAAACTGTATAACTGTTCTAGATTATGGATATTTAAATTAAAGAAAATGTCAAGAAATTCTTCCAAGTGTAAATGTTTGCCATATATACTGTTAAACTTCCAGTTATTCATTTATTTTTTATTACAAACTTATCTGGTGTAAACACACTGAAATTAAAGAATTTCACCATTTAATCTTGATGTTCATGTGATACAACATTTTAAATCCCTTGGAGAACACATAAAAAAGAAAAACAAGTTTGCATAAAAAATAAATGATGCTGAGATTCACCTTAAAGATTGGTTTTTATTCACTGTTATTAAAAAAAAAAAAATTTTAAAAATACAAGCTCGCCTCTATGTAAACCCACTTGAAGTAATTTTTTTTTTTAAAGCAATTAATGTTGAAATTAACCTGAAGGTAGAATTTCAAATCTGTACAGAATCATTGTTACAGAAAGTATTCATATAACACTTTTAAACCACCACCACCCAAGATTCATATACATTAAAGAATTCCACAAAAAAAAAAAAAAAGGAAAAGAAAAAAATCCGTGATGAAATGCATCTGAAAATTGGGAATTCATGCCACATAAGAAGACAAACTGTTTTACTGCTGCTAAAACGGCATTAAAAATCACTTCAACACAAATTCATGATCAGAAAATTTCCGACAAAAAGAGCAATGAACGTTGAACTTCACCTGAATGTGGACATTGACAGATCCATAACGCCATTTCACTGTTAGACAGAGTTGCAGTGAGGGAAAAAAATTGAAGAAAAAGATCAGATTATGAGACCTATGAGTACATATAGCGCTGTGAAAACTCTAAAACAAGCATTGCTGGAACTTGAACTTGTGATGGAATTAAGAGCTTGAGAATGCGAGAATTTAGAACATAGAGCTCTGTGAAAACTCTAAAACAAGCATTGCTGGAACTTGAACTTGTGATGGAATTAAGAGCTTGAGAATGCGAGAATTTATAGGAGCAAATGGGGTGAAAACTCTAAAACAAGCATTGCTTGAACTTGAAATTGTGATGAAATTGAGACCTTGAAAACGGGAGCAATTATAGGAGCAAATAGGGTGAATTTATAGTAAGTATAAGACAATCTGAACTGGATTGCATGAATTATAAACCCTGATGAACTGTAAATTCACCAGCCTGAGAAATTGCGGCTGCATTTTGTTTGTTCATACAATCAGTGTCAGTTACACATGATACATATGAAAGGCAAGCAAGATACACAGAGAGGAGGGAAAAAAACATGTGTTTAGATAGAGAAAGTGACCCACATGGCACGGGCAAAATGATGATATTTGACTTGAATATCATTTCAAATAACTTCGATAATATCAATGTAAGCAAGCTTGTATATCTTATTTTCCATTTTCAATTTATTTCTTGTTACTTCATAAATACTATAGAATAGAATCAAAACAGCAGAAATGAATACGCTAAGCATGTAGCATTCTGGAAGTAAGTTTAATTAACGTATTAAATGTTATAGTGTCAATGGTAAAATTAGTATTCTTGAAGTTGGTTTATTTGACAGATGAGATATTATAGTCTCAACATCAATATTCTCGAATAGGATTATTTGATGGATCACATGCTATGGGTGTCAACAACGGAATTTGAAAGAAAATATGGCAACGAGGCATGAATTCCAGCAAAATGGGACTCCGTGCATTACGGTTATGAGTGGATTCTAGAATTTCTAAATGGTCGCATAGACTGAAAATGAGCGGTTTAGGTTTACATAAATACTTGAGTTAATTCGTGCGTGTACAAATGACGTCACTTTAATATCAAATCCATGCAAATTTCTTTACATAAAAAATAGATTGGGCTACTTATTTGACATGTGTTCACTTATCTCGTATCTTTTACGTTAGATCTATATAATGTACCGTTAATGTTTAGATCAGCCATGTTATAAAAATGTCAGTGCCACTTATTCTGAAAATGATTCATAAAATGAACATCACACCATCTAATTATATTTTTCGATACTTCATTAATTGAGGAAATATATTATCGCTATTACTTTAACCATGAAAAAGTAACGCGCACTAACCAAATATTATATTTTACAACAAAGAGCAATGCTCAACAAAAGTTTCAGCGACGAGGTAGTTAACATGATTTTTTCTTTATTCGATTATGCAATTTTCTAATATTTTCAATCATTCACTATAAACTGTTATTGATTTCTATTAACGAGTACAATATTTAATTGTTATTTTATTATTGAACGGATAATTTAATATCAAAATGTAATAACGATATCATGTTTTTTGGATTTGAGACCAAGAATTATGCTTGGTGTACATAAAAAAGTCTACATAAGAGTGTCTTTTCTCTCACATGAGGTGGGACTCACAAAATTATGTACACCAAACAAGGTCCTTGAGACCAATGGTGCCAGCAATTGCCACCAGCATATGGTTATCATAGTACCTACTTATTATATGGGTTTTGCTGATTATACGTCTTGAATTCATACGCCGGATGATAGCCCTCTCACAAGAGGGGAGGCTCGCGTGAAATAAAAAATGGAAAGATTACATAACTAAGAGGTTAAGTTTCGCCAATTTCAAATTTAAGAGTAAGGTTTAAAATTTCAAATCTCAGACTTTTTCAAATTTTATTTATAAATAAATTAATTTAAAAAATATTTTATTAATTAAATATATTAAGGTCACAATTCCATATAATTAGTCACATATTATTAATTGATCACAAATTACAATTTTTATAAGTCACAAATTATTTTACGGTCACATTTCAAAAAATGTATAGATCACAATTTGTTTATCGGTTACAAATTTATCAAATTAATAAGTCACATATTATTCATTGGTCACAAATAAGAAATTTTATATGTCACATTATTTTACGGTCACATTTCAGAAATTTTATTGGTTATAATTTGTTCATCGGTCACAAATAAAAAATTTATATGTCACAATTTATTTATCGGTCACAAATTAAAAAAAATTTAGGTCACACATTATTTCTTTTTAAGACGCACGTTCGACACATCTTTAACTATTTTTGATATCTATTTGAACTGTTCGATATGTCTAAAATTTAGTTCTCAAAACGAGCTTCGAGATAACATATACGATTTCGGCTAACGTATGATCATCGAAGAATTTTTAAAAATAACATATTATCGAAATTCTCGAAATATTAGTTTGGAATTGTTTATTTTGACAAGCCGAAACATTTGCTACAATTGATCGTTCATGCGCCATTAACAACGTAGAAAACTAGTTCGTGATTATTTCAAAATGGTATTAAGAATGTAATATTTCGACTTCGTTTGACATCTCATAATGACTTTGAAAATTGAGACAAAAATATAGAAGGGGAAAAAAAGAATTGACCCCAAAGTTGAAGGCTCACGTGACCCATGCCCACCCCTGTGTCCGCCTTTGGTTGTGATTGTGAATACAAAATATGACTCCTTATGGGAAAAATTGGGTAAGAAATATTGCTTGGAACATGGGCATCATTTCTTAAAACAATGTGACTTTGGTCAAAAAATGATATTTGATTTGCGCATCACAAATATAGAACAAATATCCTCATCACAAACATTCTGAGTAATAGAAGTGCCTTCGCAATAAAGAACATATGAAGCTACAAACAACATCACAGTTGTTGAATATATCCTCATGCATGCATGCACAGACAAATGCACGTCCATATAAATTAAAATGTGGTGTAAATAGTAAGTTATTGGTGAATGACAATTGTAATGACAATTGTACCCTTGTAGCCCTAGATATTATTACCATATGTATCTTCATTCATTTCCTATAAATATAGGACTTTGATTCTCATTATAATATACGCAAGTTTATTGGCTTCTCTTATTCTCTTCTCATTTTCTCTCTTTTCATAACACGTTATCAGCACGATAGCTTAATTTTTCAAAATTTAGTGAATGTAGTAATTTTTTTAAGCATAATCATCTACCACATGCACCAAAATTAATTTGGTGACATGTGAATTTTTTTTTAATGTACACATACATCATAACGGTGCAAACTTGCAGTCAGATTCTAACTTGCTTTTTCAATTCATGTCTATATCCATTCATGTTTAGTCAATTCATATCTGTACATATGTATGATCTATGATTTATGTCTTTGAATTCATGCATGTGCATAAAATTACGTCTTTGAATTAATCGTATGAAGTCAAATTCATCAGTTTCTGTTTAATCACATCTTCAAATTAATTCATGTTTATATAAACTGTCATCATAATTTTTGCATTAATAAATATCTTTATACATAAATATTCTACAGTATGCTCCTGAACGTATTTCATTAAATGTATTTCATTCTACAATATTCTACCATTAAATTAGGTATATGAAGATTTTTTCCTAATGCATGTTTGGAAGATTTTTTTTGCTAATACATTTTTGCTAAT